TTACCATGTATATACAATGGAATATTACTCAGACATAAAAAAGAATGAAACCTTACCATTTGCTACAGACATGGATGGACCTAGAGGGTGTTATGCTCAGTGAAGTAAGCCAGAGAAAGACAAGTACCATATGTTTTCACTTAAATGTGAAATCTAAACAGCAAAATAAATGAACAAACAAAACAGAAACAAACTAGTAGATGCAGAGAACAGATTGATGGTTGTCAGAGGAGAGGATGGTTGGGAGGCTTGGTGAAAAATGTGAAGGATTACGATATAAAAATTGGTACTTACAAAATAGTCACAGGGATGTAAAATACAGTATAGGGCAGTGATGGTGAACCTTTTGAGCTTGGCATGTCAGCATTTTGAAAAACCCTAACTTAACTCTGGTGCCGTGTCACATATAGAAATTTTTTTTATCTTTGCAACCATAGTAAAACAAAGATTTATATTTTTGATATTTATTTTATATATTTAAATGCCATTTAACAAAGAAAAATCAACCAAAAAAAAAAGTGTTCACATGTCACCTCTGACACGCGTGTCATAGGTTCGCCATCACTGGTATAGGGAATATAGTCAATAATATTGTAATAACTATGTATGGTGTCAGGTGGGTACTGAAAATATTGGGGGTAACACTTTACTACAGACATAAAATTAATATTGAATGTAAACTGTCATTTAAAAATCTAGTTGATTCCCTGACCGGTTTTGCTCAGTGGATAGAGCATCGGCCTGCAGACTGAAAGGTCCCAGGTTCAATTCCAGTCAAGGGCATGTACCTTGGTTGCGGGCACATCCCCAGTGGGGCGTGTGCAGGAGGCCGCTGATCGATGTTTCTAACTCTCTATCCCTCTCCCTTCCTCTCTGTAAAAAAATCAATAAAATATATTTAAAAAAATATCTAGTTGAATTGTAGGACATTCAGCTGGTGATATGGGCAAATCTAGAATTTAGAATTGTTGGAGCTGAATCTTACCTGGAAATTTTTATTCAGTAGGTCTAGGGTAGACTCTGGGAATATGTTTTAACAAGAGCTCCTAGTGATTCTTATCTTCTGGCAAATTTGGGAAACCATGATTAAAAGCATGTGCCCAGGAATTCACAATAAAGGCTTTGATCCCAAATGTGGAGTCTCAAACACACATACCTAAATAGTACAGTGTATAGGCTTTTAAAATTGTAATAATAAAACAGACCTTATATTTGAAGAGCATCCTATACTTACCTTATCACATATGCTATAAATATTACCACATTAGAATCTTTTAACAGCCTAATAAACTATTAAAAGGGTAGGCCAATGAGTCTTGTACCCATTTTAGGGATGAGGAAACACTGCCAGGGTGTAGCTTATAATATAATTGGAGAGAAAATAAATACTCATTAAATGATGCAAGAACAAAACAAAGCAATACGCCTACTTTGTAAAAGAATACCTTATGACACAGAATACAAGGTGTGAGGAATATGGAGCCCAAAGGTCGCCTAGGCAAGTAGGAGTCCAAAACCTCCCAACAGTAGGAGATATGTCTGAGTTTGGAAACTTAGTTATTCTTATGGTACCAGGAATTTTTTCTATACTGGATTCTCATGTGAACTGTACCAGTTACATTTTCTACAACTACATACTCTACCAAAAACCAGTCTGACCTGCAAGGGAAGTACAAGCTTTGGTCCTTTTGCAATGCTCTGCTGCCTAACCAGTTTGTGTTTGCAAAATGACATGTGGCTGGGTCAAGATGGAGATGACCTAGTAAAGGGAGGGTGGTTGTTGTATTAGGCATGACTAGGAGGCTTTATGGGCCTACTTAGGGCCTCAGATGCTGTGGAGTTGAAGGATTTCATTTCATCCAGTTGTATTGATGTTTTTTCTGGATCAGGCATGGGTGCTGGCAGCTGAGGAATTCATTGTCTAGGTAGGAGGGAAAGGAAGACATATGTGTGGCTAGTGATGATGTAAGTCAGGAAGCATTGCAAAGCAGAATAAGCAACATTCTATGGTGATGGAGCAGGAGTCATGGAAGTCCCATTTGTTTATTTTTGTTTTTGCTTCTCTTCCTCAAGGGGACATATAAAAAAAAGATAATACTCACACTGATGTCAAATGATTTACTACCTATGTTTTTTTCCTAGGGATTTTATGGATTCAGGCTTTACATTAAAGTCTTTAATCCATTTTGAGTTTATTTTTGTATATGGTGTAAGAAGAGTGATCCAGTTTAATTTCTTGCATATATCTGTCCAGTTTCACGATACCACAAGCTACTGAATGGGAAAATATTTTCTCAAATGATATATCCAATAAGTCAATTTCCAAAATATATAAGGAACACATGAAATTCAATAACAAAAAATAAATAAACAATACAATCCAAAAATTGGCAGAGGACATGAAGAGCCATTTCTCCACAGAAGACATATAGATGGCCAACAGATGTGAAAAGATGCTCAACATCACTAATCATCAGGGAAATGCAAATCAAAAGCACCATGAGATATTTCCACCTCACACATGTCAGATAGCTATCATTAATAAATCAACAAACAACAACAAAAAACCAACAAACAACAAGTGTTGCCTATGATATGGAGAAAAGGGAATCCTTGTGCACTATTGGTGGGACTGCAAATTGGTGCAGCCACCGTGGAAAACAGTATGTAGAGTCCTCAAAAAACTAAGAATAGATCTACCATAGTACCCAGCAATTCCACTTCTGGTACTTATCTGAAGAAAACAAAAACACTAATTTGAGAAGATATATGCATCCCTGTGTTTATTGCAGCATTATCTTTAAAAGCCAACATATGGAAGCAACCTAGGTGTCCATTGATAAATGAATGGATAAATAATTGAATAGTATGCAGCTGTAAAAGAATGAATTCCTGCCATTTGCAATAACATGGATGAACCTAGAGCAGCCGTGGGCAAACTACGGCCTGCGGGCCAGATCCGGCCCGTTTGAAATGAATAAAACTAAAAAAAAAAAAGGACCGTACCCTTTTATGTAATGATGTTTACTTTGAATTTATATTAGTTCACACAAACACTCCATCCATGCTTTTGTTCCGGCCCTCCGGTCCAGTTTAAGAACCCATTGTGGCCCTCGAGTCAAAAAGTTTGCCCACCCCTGACCTAGAGGGTATTATGTTGCTAAGAAGTGAAATAAGTAAAACAGAGAAAGACAAATACCATATAGTTTCACTTATATGTGGAATCTTAAAAAAAAACACCACAAAATAAATGAACAAAAATAGACTCAGAAACAGAGACCAAAGGTATGGTTGCCAGATGAGAGGGCGTGGGAAGATGGGTGAAAAAGGTGAAGGGTAATATAATTAATAATATTGTGATAGGTTTGCACTGTGACAGATGATTACTAGAATTACAGTGGTGATCACATTGCAATATATAAAAATGCTGAATCACTATATTGTACACCTGAAAAATTATTTTAATGGAAAGCTTCACGAATTTCTGCAGGGGACATGCTAATCTTCTCTGTGTTATTCCAATTTTGGTATATGTGCTGCCGAAGTGAGCACGTACACCTGAAATTAATATAACTAATATAATATTTCACACCAACTATATTTAAATTTAACAATTAAAGAAATAGCTCTCAAGGGAGATTCTGGAAGTTTATTTGAGGACATGGCATTTCCCCTGGGCCTTGAAAGATAGGTAGTATTGCAAAGACAGAGAAGGACACTATTAAGTAGAGAAAATCTGTGAGAAAAGGCATCAGAAGCCTGAGCCCAAGGGATATTTCCGAGCAGCCCATTGCTTACATGGCCAACTGGGGAGAATTCTTTGGGCCTTATGCTTGTGGGGAGGGTCCTGTGGCAGCTGTACCTTGCTCTTCCTTTCAGAAATTAAAATTTAATTTTGATAATTCTATTTGTTTTATGGGACAGTCATAGTATTTTTAAAATATAGTTTTTTTGATTTCAGAGAGGAAGGGAGAGGGAGAGAGATAGAACATCAATGGTGAGAGAGAATCATTTATCGGTTGCCTCTTGCACACCCCCTACTGGGGATTGAGCCCACAACCCAGGCATGTGCCCTTGATCAGAATCAAACCCGGTACCCTTCATTCCGCAGACCAATGCTCTATCCACTGAGAAAAACCGGCTAGGGCTTGATAAATCTATTTTTAATGATACTTCAAGGGGCCTATGGTTGTTACTGACTGACCACCTTTCAAGGGGGATGATTTGAGGTAGCAAACACTGGTTGGGTTTTCCCAGGCCCTCCTGTCTTTCATGGATGGCCAGTTGTTTGGGTTAGAGTATTGGGTGCATCAGAGAAGGATTACAGAGGGCCTTTTATCCCATGCAAAGGGGTGTAGGTAATGCTGAGACATTGGGAAGTTTTCAGTCACCTATACATCTTAGATAAATCCCTCTGATTGCTGTCTGGGAGATGGACAAAGGCAAGAATAGGAGAGAGTCCAAACAGGAGGCTGACTGAGAAAAAGGTCATGGGGCCTAAACAGCACTGAAGATGGAGTGGAGAAATTTGGTCAATAGGACACATCTTAGAGGTAGAATCAACTAGCATTTGGTATTCACTGGATCTGTGAGTGTGTGTAGGGGAGTAAGAAGCGGGAAGAGTCAAGGGTGGCTGTGTAACAAGTGCAAAGGCAGATGGCACTTCTGTAAGTCTCTAGTCTCAAGGAGTGTAGAGAGGAGAGGGGAGGGGAGGGGATGGGAGTGAAGGGAGGGGAGGGGAGTGAAGGGAGGGGAGGGGAGTGAAGGAGGGGAGGGGAGGGGAGGGGAGGGGAGGGGAGGAAAGGGGAAGAGAGGGAAAGGGAAGAAGGGGAAAGGAGGAAGGGGAGGGAGGGGGAGGGACTGATTAGAGACAGAAGGAAGAAGTTTGGAGCACTGAGAAGGAAGAAACCCTACAGGCCAGGTGTCAGTAAGGAAGCCACTCCTTCAGCGCAGGCCCCGCCCCCGGCTCCACCTCTTCTTCCTTTTTCCCACCCACCTCATAACAGCAGCTCTCGTCCTAGAGGGCGAAGAGAGGTGGTATTTGAGTCCTCCGGTATCCCAGCAGGCAGTGCAGCCTAGAGACGCTGACAAAGGACTGAAGGAGCAGTCGCAGCCTTGGAGCCGGGTTTGCCGAGGTGAGAGTCCCCCACCGTCCTGTCACACACTCCTCCGACTTTGGGAAAACGTGGAAGTTACGTTGCCGAGAGACCCTGTGGAAAGAACGAGCAGTCCCCAAACCCAGAGCCTGGCTCAGTGACTGACAGCAGGGCTCCGTGGCGCCTGGATGCGGGTGGGAGGTGCAGAGAAGGAATCTAATGGGGTTCTTTCTGCTCTATCTCTCTCAATTGCCCTGCAGTACGCGGATCCCAGCCCCTAGTCTGGCCGGCTCCTGTGTGTGTTTCTCCTGCACGGGCAGAGGCAGCAGGCTCGGGAACCTTGCTGTGCTTGCCAAACAGAGTTCGGTTACCCCGGGGATGCGACTCTGGGGAGAACTCTTTGACGGATGTTTTGAGGAGAGCTGGGGGAGGGAAGTTGACTCCCTGTTCGGGGTGACACCGTCCTTGCCTTTCTTCTTTCCTCCAGCTCTACTGGTGCACTCATTGAGCAACTGGAAGGAAATCGGCGGGGTTGGAGCGAGGCGTTCTGGGGTGGCTGGAGGGAGATGAAGGTGGGGTGGAGAGGCTGGTAGGGAGAACGAACGCCTTCTTAGAATGGTGGGGGTGGGGTGTAGGGGCTATGTGGCCTGTATGCTTCCCCCTTCCAGGACCTCTGCATGGATCCTGATGGTTGCACCAGCTGCTCGGCTGTAAACAGGCTCACATGACCTGTTTCGCTTGGAGCCGGCCTGTGTGGGGATGGGGGCTGGAAAGGCTGGGCCCGGCCAATCAGGTGGAGCTGAAGTCCTAGGACAGACCGTTTGATACTCTCTCCCCTGCCCTCCCGCCCTTAATCAGTGCTCTGCCGTTTCCCTTTCAGGGTAAAGTAACTGACATCTGTCCTCTACGAACTGTAGTAGCATTTCTGCACCAGTAGACTCAAAGACCTCTCATAGGGGGGTGAGGGGGCAAATATTAGATGAAAACAGTCCCAGATTTTTTACATTTGAAAGGAAATGAGATTGACGCAAACCTGAAAAACTGGATCTTTTGGATCTTGCCTAAAAAGCAGTCCTGTTCTTTAGGAATGCATTGCATTCTTAATGTGAATTCCAGACAGGGAAAAGTCTACTTTTTCAGGCAGGGCTCACATAGGGTTTAATATATTCTTTTATTTTTTTAAAAAATATATTTTATTGATTTTTTACAGAGAGGAAGGGAGAGGGATAGAGAGTTAGAAACATCGATGAGAGAGAAACATCAACCAGCTGCCTCCTGCACACCCCCTACTGGGGATGTGCCCATAACCAAGGTACATGCCCTTGACTGGAATCGAACCTGGGATCCTTCAGTCCACAGGCCGACGCTCTATCCATTGAGCCAAACTGGTCAGGGCAATATATTCTTAATGCTGAAAATCTTGTCGACGTTTCCTAAGTGCTGGAAATCTGACTATAAGATGCGATATACAGGATATTGTATAGGCCGGAGTGGACACCAACTTTTAAATCATGGTATATTTGGTATAAAGCAGTTGGAAGTTTGGAAAATGGGGCCAAACGTGCCTTTCAATTTGTTAATGTCTACATACCCAAACAGGATGAGAGTTTCTGAAGTACTTGAACTCTCAAAATAAGAGGTTTGCTCAAATATCAGTATATTTGAAAATGTGGAATTGTGCAAATGAGGTAGTTATGTAGATTCCCGTTACGTGTAATATATAATTAAATATAATGCGCAATATTCAGTGTAATGGTACTCTTTTATAGGCAAATATAGTACATAGAACAAATAGCTTATAAAATAATGCATGTTTCTTCCCTTAACTTGTTCATGCACATTTTCTCCCCAAATATTTTTTAATGGAGCTTGTTACATTTAACTCCAATTCCTGAAAATGTAAAACAAAAAACTCCAAGAAAAGCTTCCCCATTCTCTACTAGATAAATAAAGTAAGTAATTTGCTATTATTTTTCTGTTTTTTAAAAAGTTTAAAATGGAAAATAGAGGAATTTATTTTTTATTTTAATTTTAAAAAATATATATTTTCATTGATTTTAGAGAGGAAGTAAGAGGGAGAGAGTGATAGAAACATCAATGATGAGAGAGTCATTGATTGGCTCCCTCCTGCACACCCCCTACTGGGGATCAAGCCTGCAACCTGGGCATGTGCCCTGACCAGAATCGAACCCATGACCTCTTGGTTCATAGATTGATGCTCAACCACTGAGCCATACCACCTGAGCAAAAATAGAGGAATTTAAAATCTTATCTAAAATTTAAAGGAGATTATCAGTATTGCTCTTCATCTGGTTTTGCCACCCTGTAGCATTCTGGAGAATCTTGCCCTACAATAAACAGATTACGTGATTTGCTCTCTGAGGGCTTCCATTTCCTCATCTGTAATATGAAAATTTTATCTTAATCTCCAGGGTCTTTTATAGTTCTCCAATTCCATAAAATAGTGCATTTTTTTTATTGGGAATTATTCTTGGCCAAAATAAGATTGTCAAATAAGCCAAGATATTGATATCAACTAAAAGAACATTCAATAAGTAACAAGAGGTATCCAGAGTCCTAATAGAAATAGAAATTACTGAATAGGTTGACCTGTACCTCTCCTTCTCATTCTCCTCTCTATCAGGAAATTAAAGATTGCCTCAGCTAAATCCTATTTCCAAAATCAGAAATAACAGTTCCACTTGACTTTCTTGACCTTCATGGCATAGTACAAAGTCTGATTCTTTCACTCATTACAACTTTTTCCTGAAGTAAGTGGGCTATGTGATCAGTGATGAAGCTAGAATAAAAACAAGGTGGTTCTAGCAGGGCCTCACCTTGGTAGTATCTTGGTTAGATCACCAGAACATTTTTTTTAACTTTTCAGGGTTTGAAATTTAATTTTTCCAGCACATCCAGAAATTATTCATCAATCTCAGGAATTGACTCACACTAACCAAACTCAAAAGATTTCTTTGTTAATATATGAATGCCAGTTTACTAACTTACAGTGAGAAGTAGAACTGCCAAGCAGACCAGGAGACACATGTGCAAGCTAGGGCACCCTTTGTTCTTGACACCATGGGAAAACATAGACGTTGCTCTTGACCTTCCTTTATTCTGGATCATTTCTTAAAACATCTAGTGGTCAATACATTCAACAAGAGTACAACATGTTTTTATGTAAAAGCCATTTCAGTAACACCTTTGTATGGATCTCTCCTAGTCTCTTGATAGAACTTGGGCCACCTGCAAAGCATCTCTAAAATCTGTTTCCTCTCCATTCCTACTGTCTTAATCTAGGCCAGTGGTTCTCAACCTTGGCTGCACATTAGAATCACCTGGGAATCTTTTTAAAATCCTGATTTCTGGGCCTCATTCTCCGGAAATTCTGTTTCTTTGTTATGGAGTAGGAAACAGAATTTACGGCGGATGAGGCCCAGAAACCAGGATTTTAAAAAGATTCCCAGGTGATTCTAATGTGCAGCCAAGGTTGAGAACCACTGATCTAGGCCCTCATCATCTCTCTAGGCCTCACTGATTCAACAGCTTTTTTCTTCTCACTATGACTACTCTAGAGTCAGGTGCTGTGCTTGACTGGTCAATGGCAATCAGCTTCCTACTTAAGATCTTATCCAGCTAGTTCCCTGCTTAAAATACTATGGAGGTTTCCCATTGCCTGAAGCAGTGGTTCCAAGTGTAGTATGCATCAGAATCATCTGGAGGGCCCCAACCCCAGATTTTTTTTTAATTTTTAAAAATATATATTTTTATTGATTTCAGAGAGGAAATGAGAGGGAGAGAAACATCAATGATGAGAGAGAATCATTGATCGGCTGCCTCCTGCATGCCCCCTACTGGGGCTGGAGCCCACAACCCGAGCATGCACCGGCCCACCGGGAATTGAACCGTGACCTCCTGGTTCAGAGGTCAATGCTCAACCACTGAGCCACATGGGCTGGGCAAACCCCAGAATTTCTGATTCAGTAGATCTAGGGTGGGACCTGAAAATTAGCATTTCTAACAAGTTACCAGGTGAAACTGCTGCTGCTGTTCCAGCACCACATGTTGAGAAACACTGGCATCCAGAATCATGTGTAAAGCTCTCAAACTTGGCTTATAACAGTGGTTCTCAACCTTGGCTGCACATTAGAATCACCTGGGAATCTTTTTAAAATCCTGATTTCTGGGCCTCATCCTCTGAAAATTCTGTTTCTTTGTTACTAATGTTGTGGCCCCACCCCATAACAAAGAAACAGAATTTTCGGAGGATGAGGCCCAGAAATCAGGATTTTAAAAAGATTCCCAGGTGATTCTAATGTGCAGCCAAGGTTGAGAACCACTGGCTTATAAGATTTATCTCCATCCACCTCCAGCTTACCTTTCCTGGCTTATCTCTTTCATACTATTTTTTAACTATAGGCAATGCCAAAACTAATTTTAAGAGTCCCTTTCATCTATCTATACATATTCTTCCTGGAATTTATCCCTCTCCACTACCTCTGAAAACTCCCGTTTAAGGCAGACTGTTACTTTCTTTATGCTACCAGAGCATTTTATATCTATCAGCCTTTTAACACTTAATACATCATATTCTAACTACTATGTGTATCTGTTTTTCCTGCTGGATGAGTTTTGAAGGGTGAGAGCATGTTTCCATCTTTTCCCCACATTCCATAGCACAGTGCTTGGTATATAAGTGCTCTGTCAATGTTTGTTGAATGAATTTGTGATTCTAAAACTTCTTAGAGTACTATATGTAGCAACATACATACTTCATATAATGAATTAATATGGATATTGCTTTGAGAATTGCACATCTTGAAATAACAAAGACATTGAGATATTGTGAAACAAATGTTGGAAATAACTAGCTTAAAAGAAATATCTTAAAAAAGACATTACTGGACATCCTTATTTTTTAAATGCTTAAAGCAGTGGTACTCAACCTTCCTAATGCTACGACCCTTTAATACAGTTCATGTTGTGGTGACCCCCAACCATAAAATTATTTTCGTTGCTACTTCATAACTGTAATT